GAAAGAGTTCCTTTAAATCCAATGAGTAGTCGAGTGCCTAAAGTTAAAATCAGCAGTCTCATCTAACAGAAAACTAATAAACCGTCATAAACAATTCATCTTTTTTATGTTCAAATGATGAAATGTGAGAAAGTGTGAGAAAAAGTGAATGTTTCAGTCATACTGGAGGGTGATCTTCGGCATAACTTACATACTGTAGCTTATTACATGTTTTATGCCACTAGTTAAAGTTTCTGAACTGTCCCTTTAGCCATTGCACACTTTCTGTCTCCTGCTTTATCATATTTGTCTTGTCTAAATGTCTAACCATGCAGAGTACGCAAAGTTCCTGCACTGTAAGGGCTGCAAGTTTGTAGACTTTGAGGAGGTCCATCAGAAGATCGAAGCAGAGACTGACGGTCTCACTGGATCCAACAAGAGCATCTCCCCCATCCCCATCAAACTCTGTGTCTACTCCCCTAATGGTAACACACATACACTTACAGTATATATATATATAAACTCAACGGGTTTTCAGCCTCTGTCTAACTGATTCCTTTACTTACTTTCTTCTAACCCATCACCGCGACTCAGTGCTGAATCTGACTCTGATCGATCTGCCGGGGATGACGGAAGTGGCCATGGGAGACCAGCCTCCAGACATTGAGCACCAGATCAGAGACATGCTGCTGCAGTTCATCACCAAGGAGAGCTGCCTGATTCTGGCTATCACCCTGGCCAACTCCGATGCCCTCAAGATTGCCAAGGAGGTGGACCCTCAGGGTATTGGAAACTGCATGTGCTTCTATATGTGAGACCTTGAGAAAAGCGTTTGTTTTTAGGATCATGTTCATCTTTATGTTGTTTTGTTACCCTTTCTCTTGATATTTCTCTAAATGTAACCGGGCTACAACTAACAACTATTTTAATGTTGATAATTTATAATATATAATGTAAAAAACATGCAGAAATCTAAATTTCACATAATGAAAATAAAAACATTTATATGCTTGTGCAATGTTTCTATGCAGTGCATTAATAAACAAAAAAAATTAAATATATTATTTGTGCAAGAATAGAGCTTTTTATAAAGTGCACAATAGGTCCTTACACTGCTAACCATCCATCCATCCATCCATCTTCGCCCGCTTTATCCGAGACCGGGTCGCGGGGGCAGTAGTCCGAACAGAGCCTCCCAGACTTCCCTCTCCCCACACACCTCCTCTAGCTCCTCAGGAGGAACCCCAAGACGTTCCCAGGCCAGCCGGGAGACATAGTCTCTCCAACGTGTCCTGGGTCTGCCCCGAGGCCTTCTCCCACAGGGACACTGTTACACTGTTAACAAAAACACTAAAATATTTATGATTTGAAATAACTTCAATGTTCATAAAACATACCATGCTAATGTAAAAGGCCAGTACAACCATGACTCCTACTGCTGACTGGTAAAAGTAACTTTGAGTATGCTCACACCATCCTCAGCACATTTACGCTTAGCCTATATACTCTGTACAATCCCCGTTAACTTGCATAAGTGTCATCAATGCTCCTGAACACATCTTTACCATTTAGTGTGTTGTGGTTTGTGTCCTGCTTCCTGTTTGAGGCTTTTATTTTGGTTATATTTCCTGTCTTGTGTGACCTCACCTGCCCCAGCTTTAGCCCGGTTCATAATTTCTGTTCATGATTTCCACCTGCTCCTCATTATCCTCTGGTCTCCTGTCTATATATCCTCCTTCCTTCCATCAGCCTGGTTGCTGGTTCATTTTGTCTCCACGCCTTGTTGCCCCCCTATCCTCTGCTTGCTATCTCTGTTCACTACACCATGCTTGTTCATGTACTCTTGTAATTTTGACGCTGTCTCCTGTTTGTTCCTTTGTGTTTGTGACCCTGTAAACTGTTCTCTTGTTAGTTTCCCCAGTCTTTAGTTTCTTGCCCTGCTCCCTGACCTACTGTTTAGTTTAGCATTTTGGAATTCTTTGCTTGTGTGTTTTTCCCCTTTAGCCTCGTTCTCTACTATTTAATAAAGCCCTATTTGAACCTTCCCTTGCCTTGTGTGTCTGCATATTGGGTCCTTCCCAGCCCTTAACCATAACATAGTGGAATGGTATTGAAATTGAACTGCTTAAATAGCATCATTAAATTATTTTTGTAATTTCCTATTCCATGTGTGAATACTAGAACATTGATGTTATCAACAACCCCTTGTTTTTTTTAGGCCTGCAGACCATCGGTGTGATGATATAACTGGACCTGATGGATGAGAGGACAGATGCACAAGACATCCTGGAAAACAAGCTGCTGCCACTCCGCAGAGGTGAGATCACACGTGTATTTTAAACGCGATAGTATATTTAAATCCATCTGTGGCAATATACATGCTTACATTGGACACTTGTCAATAGGGGCTGCTGTTGCCAGCTATGTGGTTCTGTTTATGGGGAACCTGCCGATCAAAACCCCCTGACAGTCGGTTTTGTGAACCCAAATATCTTTATCACTAACCCACATATTAACAGACTGTAGCAAAAGGACATAAGGATAATCACCTTTATTTGGCCAAGTATGTTGCACACAAGGAATTTGTTTCCAGTACCAAGGCAACCATCTGCGGCGCCAACTCAACCGATGGCTCTAACCATTGGGGGCAACTTGGGGGGTTCAGTGTCTTGTCAGCTCATGTTGGATACAGGGATTATGGGAGATGACATACTGACATAGTTTCTTTCCAGCTGCATTGCTGTAAGTATCAGGTTACAATTGCCTGCACTCAAAGCCTGGCTGAGTGGGTGTAAAGCTTCCAAGGCCTTTTTGTTAACAATTCTCAGCTCTATCTTCTCTCCATTCAGCCCTCACCCACTTATATATATATATATATATACCATCGGTGTGATGATATAACTGGACCTGATGGATGAGGGGACAGATGCACAAGACATCCTGGAAAACAAGCTGCTGCCACTCCGCAGAGGTGAGATCACACGTGTATTTTAAACGCTATAGTATATTTAAATCCACCTGTGGCAATATACATGCTTACATTTGACACTTGTCCATAGGGGCTGCTGTTGCCAGCTATGTAGTTCTGTTTTTGGGGAACGTGCCGATCAAAACCCACTGACAGTCGGTTTTGTGAACATGCCCAGTGCTGCCAAATATCTTTATCACTAACCCACATGTTAACAGACTGTAGCAAAAGGACATAAGGATAGTCACCTTTATTTGGCCAAGTATGTTACACACACAAGGAATTTGTTTCCAATACAGAACCAAGGCAACCATCTGCGGCACCAACTCAACCGATGGCTCTAACCATCGGGGGCAACTTGAGGGGGTTCAGTGTCTTGTCAGCGTGTGGGCCCCTGTCCGGTCAGGCCCCGCTGGCGGGTTGGGCTTGTGAGGTCGCCCCTCACAGGTTTCCCCCTCCAGTGTGTGGGCCCCGGTCCGGTCAGGCCCCACTGACCGGACCGGAGAGGCTGTGAGGCATGTCATTAGTTATATCAGTGAAACAACAATAAATCGTTAGTATGTAGGAAGTAATTAAATAAAAGTTGTTAATCTTTCGGCCTCTGTCAATAAGCATGTGGTCGACCTGTCAAAGGAGCTAGCACAGCGAGTAGAGGACTGTCTCAGCTCCCTGCTCGCTCAGATTCTGGACCTGCAGGCCCGCTGCAAACGAGTGAGACACACACACAAATACACACAAACTCTCCAGGCAAGGTGTCCTTTAGGAACAGTTACTGACTTTATGTAACAGATATCATTAAACACTTGCCTTTGCTTTCACATTTTTCCATGTGTTCCTATGATCTGCTACCCTCCACCATGCTCCGCCCAGCTCTTCAGATATTTGTCATTATGAAATTACATTAAATGAGAACACAATAAAAAATTATTTCTAATGTAACTGCATTCTTCAACTACAGTTCCCTCCTGACTCTCTCATCAGGCTCAGTGACTCTGCACCAGTGGCAGCAGCTGGCCAAAACAAACCTGGGAGGTATTCTGCAACCACGTCCGGGTGTCTTGACTAAAGACTTCAGGGAGCTTGAGGTGGACATACAGCAGGTCTGCAGCCTGAACAACCTGGAGGAGCATGAGCCTGACCTCTCACAGCCCTCTGGAGCACATGGCAGGGTAGGACACATGCTGCTCTCACACAGTTCCGCTACCTCTGTCATTCCTATTCACCTCATGAACTCTCCTATAAAATTCATGTTTCCTGCTTTAAATATTGGAATATTTAAGACTGCATTTGCTTCATTTTCTCAGTACATGTGGATGTTTCCTTCATGTATAGTTTAACACGTCTTTCTCCCTCCATGACCTCAGTCTCTCCATCTGGTCCCAACCTCGGCCAGACCTCTCCCACACATACCATAACCACCTGCCACGTCCTCTGACCCTCCCTCCTCATGCCCTCCATCTCCACTAGGTAAGAATACACACACATGCAGTCTCCCAGAGACTTGGTGGGCTTTCATGCATGCTGTATTGTCTTTGTGTATTCTTCATAGACCTGACCAAGTTAGATTTGAACTCATACTTGATTTTGTATTGGCATGATGGACCTAATTTCCTGTTACTCTGAACAAGGAACTCCTGAAAAAAAGTCTTTTATGTTCATTAATCTATAACTTTGTTTTACAGTGCATCTTTCGTTTAGTGAGGGTGGATATTCCAGATTTTCTCTCTTCCATCCTGCTGCTTTTTCTCTCTCTTCACTTCTGCTCTTTACTCCCGCAGTGGCAGGAAACATCTGCCCGGGCTCCTTGTCCAACTCTAGAAGGAGTCCTCTGGGCAAAGTAAGAGTTAAGGGCTACAGATGCACTGTGAATGCTTCAGTATTAACAACAGAGGCCCAGAACCCTAACTATGTTTGGTAACATTAGAAAAGAACCTTTTGCCTAAAATTTTTTAAAAGAAACTTTAAGGTTCATATGTTAAACATTATCTATGCCTTAACTGAAATGGTCATAGCCACCTTATGGCAAAATCGTGTGATGTGCTTCTGTAAGTATTCACCCGTCACTGCTTACTAACAGCTGCCCGCATGTTCTTGACGTGTTAGACTACATGTTTTTAGTTTGTTCACCTTTATTTAATCAGGGTAAGTCTGCTGAGCAGCCACCTCTCTTCACCTCTCCTGCATCTTCAGGAACACCCTGTTCCCATTCATACAGTTACACCTGGAAGCCCAGTACAACCACAAACTGATGTGTGGCTGCTGAGCAGCTTAAGGGACTTGCTCAAGGCCACCACAGTGGTGTTAATGAGGGTGAGGCAAATACCTCGTCACCTGTCCCACCCAGATTTAATCCATCCGGTCTGGGGACTGAACCAGCGTCAAATGCTTGCTTCTCTGTTTAAAAATAAGAAGATCACCAGACCCTTTTTCACCAGCCATACTAACATCAGCGATGATAGACACTCATAACAAATTAACTAACTCTTAACATTTACATTGTGTTATTTTTATTATTTGCATATGAACTGGCATGTTTGTGCAAAACAAAGCTCTTTTTTAAATATTTTGCATCATATTTCCTTTTTTTAATTCTTTTTTTTTTTTCCTCTCGACAACCTTCACTCTTTTGGCCTGCCATCTTGTCAGAACTGCGAGCATGTAAGCACTTCATCTCCAACCCACCAGCAGCACTTTGGCCTGGGACACCAGACCACCTCCACCATGACCACAAACATAACCAGTTCATCCCTGGGACTCCTGCAGCTGCTGCAAGAGCATAGCATCTCGGCCTCTCTTTATCCCCACCACAACCTGCACCCATACTACCAACCTGCATCCTACAGCCATAGCACAAAACCTTCATTCTCCACAGAAAAAGACAAAGGCTCATCATCAGACAAAAAAAAGAAGGAATATTTTCAGCCTGAACTTGATGGGGAAGCTTCAGAGCCTTGGGTTGCAAAGAGTGGCAGTCTGGGGGCTGATGGGTCATAATGGCAAAGAGAGACAAGCAGTCGGGCATCCTCCGAAAGTCTGACGGGGGCTGATCCACCATGTACTCTCTCATTCACTGAAGTGACTTGACATCAGGCCATGTGATCGCCACAGCACTGGCATCCTGAAAACAAAAACCCCAAAATATAGAGCCATACTTGAGTTTTTGCCCTTATGTTTTTTTTGTATTTTTTTTTTTTATGAATTTGTGTACAGCAGATAAATTCACTGTGTGGGTGACATCTTTACCTCAAAACAATCACCTGATCACTGATTACCAGTCTGTTTGACTGACTCATTACTTATTTTACATAAAAAGAAACCTCGTAGAGAAAAGGAGATGTAAGAAACTATATTACTCTAAAGTATTAGAGGATAATAAAAATAACATGAGAGGTACTTGGAATATATTAAATAAATTGATTAGAAACAGTTCCAGCAAGAGTAACTACCCTCAATATTTTATGGATAATGATACACCGGTTAATAGATTGGAGGATGTAGTAGATAAGTTTAATAGGTTCTTTGTGAATGTTGGTCCTGGTTTAGCAAGAAGCATTTGTACAGATGATACATCCGTCACTATAAATAATAATAATACAATCGAAAGGAACATGAGTTCTATGTTTTTGAAGCCCATAGTTGAAAAGGAAATTATAGAGATAGTGAATAAATGTGGTAACAAAACATCTAGTGATAGTGATGGCATCACTATGACAACTGTTAAATGGGTAATTGAGGAGATATGCAAACCATTAACCCATATTTTTAACATGTCATTTCGACTTGGTCAGTTCCCTAATAATATGAAAATAGCAAAGGTTATTCCACTGTATAAATCTGGTGATAAGCACAACTTCACAAATTATAGACCGGTTTCTCTGTTGTCACAATTTTCAAAAATTCTGGAAAAACTCTTTAATAACAGATTAGACACATTTATTGACAAACATAAAATCCTCTCCGATTGCCAATACGGTTTTAGGTCGAACCAATCAACATCTTTGGCCATTACCGACCTGATGGAGGACATTACAAGTGCTACAGATGAGAAGAAATACATGATGGGAATATTTATTGACCTAAAAAAAGCATTTGACACAATCAATCATGAATTATTAATGGACATGTTAGAAAAATATGGGATCAGGGGATTGGTTCTGAAATGGATTAAAAGTTATTTGACACAGAGGCTGTTTACCTGCTCTCTTTGTGGATCAAACTGCCTCTAAAAAACCTGGTTCAATCACATGAGGTACATTTCAGAGAACCCTTCAAACTCAAAATACATTTAGAGCTAAAAAGCACGAGCCTGTGGTACCTACACAGCCGAAATTAGCCCGCATTAGTAGCAGGCAATAAGCGTAGTGGCACCAAACTCCATTTGAAAATATTTAAATTTTAATCCCACCTTGTGTAGACAACAGGATATAACAAAACTATAACTATTTGTACGTCATACAAGTCTTCTGTTAAACTCGACATTGACAGCGCCCACCCAAAAAATACTAGAATTCAATAAAATCACGACTTTAACCGTAGATCTCCGTTAGTCAATACCGCCCACCACGGCTGTATTTTACTAGAAAAACGCCGTAGAAAATCCTGTCTACAAAAACAAAAGCCTGTTTTCAATTAAAACAAGTACAGATGTATATAATAAATGTGCAGTAGATTAAATGGTCAGAGATGAAGTTGTCAGCTGTTGTGATTTTTACTGAAGAGATGCACTGGCAGGACATCGTCAATTTGTGAGGTTGGGTGAATACCAATCGAGTGAGCTGGATATTGTATGTGGAGTGCTTCAGGGTTCTGTTTTGGGACCTAAATTATTTATATTATACATTAATGATATATGCAATGTTTCTGATTTAGTGAAAGTGGTTTTGTTTGCTGATGACACTACCATATGGGCATCGGGTGAAAACCTACAGCAACTCTCTGGATGGGTTTCACAGGAACTTGAGAAGATAAAGAAATGGTGTGATAGTAATATACTATCTCTGAATTTGGATAAAACTAAATTTATGGTATTTGGGAATCGTAGACTAGATAATGAACTTCAATTGAAAATTGGGGGAGCTAATATAGAACGAGTATATGAAATTAAATTTCTAGGTGTCATAGTTGATGACAAATTCTCCTGGAAATCTCATATCAGATATGTTCAGCATAAAATAGCTAAAAATATATTGATATTGGCAAGGGTTAGATATATTTTGGATGGGAAAGCACTATGCATTTTGTATTCTTCATTGATTTTACCATACTTAGAGTATGGCGTTGAAAACTAGGGAAATACATACAAAAGCTCACTTCAACCATTGTATATATTACAAAAAAGAGCGATAAGAATTGTGCATAAGTTGGGGTATAGGGATCACACCAATGTAGTTTTCATACAGTCTAAATTGTTAAAATTGTTTGATTTAGTGGGATATCAGACTGCTGTGTTTATGTATAAAGCCAGGAACAATTTATTACCTGGTGGAATTCAAAAACTATTTAATGAAAGGGAAGGGGGATACAATTTAAGGGGTCAGTTAAATTTAAAAATTCATGCTATACGTACAACCAAAAAAAGATTTTGTATTTCCATAAGTGGGGTAAAACTATGGAATAATTTAAGTGTAGACATAAAAAATAGTAATAGAATTGACGAGTTTAAACATAAATATAAAGGTATGTGTCAATCAAGATATATGCAAGAACAGGCTTAATGATTAATTAGATGGAACATTGTGGGTGTGGTGTATGAATGTTAATACTCTGTAATAATTCTTTAATATATTACTTGTGTGGTGTAGAAGATAAGTATTTAAGAATGTAATTATGTACAAATGTTAACACTCTTTTATAATTCTTTAGTATATTACTTGTGTGGTGTAGAAGAGAATTATCTATGTAGAGATACTGTTCACAAACCAATGATGGTAAGATGATGTCAGGGGATAGGACTGGATAAGTCTGACTTCTTCCTACTCCATTCAAGCATGTACTAGGTATAAGCAAATTGATATTGGATTAGCATTTGTTGGATATGTGTAAAATTATGTGTGTGTTGACATACCATCTGTCTTTACATGCTTGAAAGAATAAATAAATCAAATCAAAAACCTTTTATACTGTATTTTGTGAATGTAATTTTACAGTGTTCCCTGTCACTGGTTTTAAAACTCCTGCCACTCGACTTTCCTTTTTTCTAAACGTTTCCAAAATGAAACATCACTTCTGTGTATATAAGAAAGTTGTCACTTGGGAAAGTTAAACTAGACTATGTGCAATAAATTATTATTTAAACCCACAAACCAAACTGAAATCTTTCAATGCATTAAAATACACTCTGGTTTTCGTGCTAAGGGGCTGCTACATTAAGAAAAGCACGTTGTGTATAAGATCCATGTGAATAAAACTTGAGAAACACACTGAGAAGCAGTGCAATGACACCAACTCCAAACTGGGCCAGATGTTACACTGACGGAACTGAATGATGTTGATAATGTTGTCCTGCAGTTCCTCACCTGTGTCTGACTTCATGGACCCCAGCGAAACTAAACCGGGTTTGCAATGCTCCATCAAAGACAGTGAATGGGAATTTTAGAAGCAATATGTGCATTTACTGTTCATGCTTGTACAAATCTGCTTCATTTCATGTCATCAGGAAGTTTGAAACTTCTGGGATATAAAAGAAATCATAATAGTTTTGGACATTTTAAAGTGGATTCTTTATGACTGTCAGGGGAGTCCTTATTTAAAGACAAGTTGGATAGAGTGGTCATTATTATTTAAACAGCATGTTTAAAAGATATGAGCTCTCTTGCTAGTTCCTGTCAGTGTGTATTTGTTCCATTAACATTGGGACAGCATGTGAAGTACAGCCTGTAGTGCTAACAGTCTTATTAGTATTTGACAATTAAAAAAATTATCAAATAAATTTGCCATCAGTGGCTACAGTGTGTGGAACTACAAAGTACTCAATATTAATTTAAAAAAGTCATTATGAAATAACTTTGAATAAATAGACAACTTTATATGACCATGAAATTGTAAAATAAACTTAAAATTCAGTTCATTATGAAATTGTTTTTGTTTTAAAAAAAAAAGCACCAAATAAATGAATTTATAGAAATAATCCACTTACTGTGTTATTGTAAATATGAATTACTCTTTAAATAATATTGTACATCTATATGTAGTAATAAATAAACATTTACAACTTTAACTTTACAGGAAACACAGCATACTAATGAATGCAATTAATGTTTGTGATAAAATAACAGTTTGATTAGATTGGTCAGCTCTTGAGACCGATATGAGACCAAAGCTATGTAGAAACATCAAATATGTGAACACATGCATGATACCCCTCTCATCCCTCATGTGCAGTGCATTTTTCCAGTGAGTCTGGGGAGCTAATTTAGAGACCTAGTGAAGAGACTATTTGGTCAACCCGCTGGGGTTCCCTGGACCTCCCACAGCCAATTTGAGAGGCAACAAGAAAAAAGGCAAATAGATGATGCAACAGGGGTCCTCATGCTAAGCAGGCAGCTATTCAAATGAGTGGCTAATTGTGACATCTGTTAACCCACTGAAGAGGTATCATGGGTCTGTTAATTGGTACAAACAGGTAGCAGATGCAGGCTCTGGGATTGAGCATCTGCCAGTTAGTAAGCCAACCTCCATAAGCAGTGATTAGACAGCCAAGCTGATGGAGGGAGATCAAATATAGGGATAGAAGCAAAACAAGGAAATGAGGAAAGGAGAGGAGAGGTGAGGCCAGGAGAGGCCATTTCCTCTTTTTCTCTCCTCTCCAATCTCCATTTCTCCTTGGATTGGAAGTATAGCCAGAAGTCAATGAAATTCCGCTTCCGCTGATTCAAAATACTGAATACTGAATTTGTAGGGCAATAGTGACCGAACACCATTTAAAAACCCTTTTTTTAATATAGTTTCTGCATTGTAATTTAAGTTTTTGGGACAGACTTGATGGAAAAATGACCATGCTTTAGAAATAAATATGGATCTGAGATCAAGAGATCTATTCTCAGCTCAGCTTATAAAACACAACTAGGGCTGGGCAATATGGCCCAAAATATAACTGCTGGGAAAAAATGAGTTTGCATTTCCCACAAATAGTGGGAAATGCAAAAATATAGTTTTCTGTCTTGATTAACTGCTTTGCCCTTGTTTGGCTTATAATAAGTCAAAAAATAATCGAAAAATGTCCATCATAATTTCCCAAAGCCAAGGTGGCATCAGCAAATTACCTGTTTTGTCCTACCAACATTCCATAAC